TTAACAAATAATCGAATAGCTACCAACATTGTAAAGGAGCCAGACCCTATCACCCACCGTATCACCAAATATATTACATTAACAATATGATCCACTATTTCGCTTAGCTGGCGAACCAAATTTTTAGCGATGAAAGCACCTCTGTGGCCGAAAAGACTACCAATGTATTTGTTTATCGTCACGAGGGGTAAACCAAATGATTTTTTTTAAATATTTCAAATGAATGTATTTTAGCATATTATTATCAAATAAAATGACAACAGTGACATGTCAGACAAATGTTAAAGTTCTATACACAATGTAATTAATGAAAATAATGTGACTCTTACTTTTGTAATAAGTGCTATATACGCACCCCTCGACTGTAATTGATTGATTGTTGCTTACCTTTTTCAACGCTAGATGGTACGTGCAGCGATATTTTGCGGGTCGCCATTGCAATATTTGGAAAAGGCATGAATGGATCATATTGTTAATATGATATCACAGACAAACAGACATAACACAATGAATATTTCTCACTGTAAAACATCGTCGGTAAAACATTACCGCCATCTGTTGAGTACACTGTGGTGGGCACTACGCTGAACAGATGGCGATAGTGTGTAAACGTCAAACGCAAGGGAATTGACTATGCGCGCCACAGGTGGCTGTACTACCAACTACGATACTTTTAAATTGACCGTTAAATGCTTGTCCGATGAAAAACTTGCGAGTGTTATGTCTGTTTGTCTGTGATGATATATTTGGTATCACGTAAGATCACAAGGTCTACTAGTTAAAGTACGACAAAGATAATGTCCATAGCAATGCAACATATACAAGCAGAATTATGATGTCTATGCACATTATTTACAACCCAATTCCATGTATGAGTTTCTAAGTTATCCAAATTATCCTGGAGTTTAAATCGACGAAGTCCACGTAAACAGAAACACTGAACTGTCATCCGATTGAGGTTAACCCCGACGGTGCAAATCCTTATACACCACTTTAAACTATAGTCACTTTTTTTTTTGTAGTGTCAGAGGTAGCACTTGCTTAAACTCTACACTGGAATTTTGCTTCTATGAGCCTCTATTTTTAATCAACACACAGACGTTCCTAGGCTATGGTGCCCGTTTGGTCACTGTTGTTTTTGTGTTGATCCAAATAGTTTTGATAATATAATTGCGCATTCTTGTTTTTTAAAATGTTGATTTTTGTCCCAGTCTTATTTTGTCATTTTGTCTTGTGTATTAACCCCCACTTGTCTTGTTTATTGTGTCAACTTGTGTCTATTGTCCTTCCCCATCTGTTTTTAAACTCGTTCTGTTACTCTGTCATGACTAATTTCATTGATATTTAAAAATAGTAATATCAATTACAGGATAATATGGTTATTTCTCGATTACTTTTTCAAAGGGAAGCACCAGCTCCTGCAAACAATGCATCCGATCGTCGATCCGGCAGCTCGCACACGCTTACCAAACCAACACCACCAGCATGTAGAGGCAAATTTCCCCTATCTGATGATAGTGCCAGCACGCGCGGGCGAGCCACCAGTTACGCCAAATCGACGACGAAACGCACCGCCTACAAAAGCCGATACGCTCCCTTGAAAAAGTTATCGAGATTTCTACTAATTAATGAATTATTGACAATTACCTCTCATGATCCTTGGCTCCACTATGATTTTAACTTATCACTTTTTGATTATTTATCAAATACCTCTCCGAGTATATAACGCCCCGATGCCTTGTTGGTTTCTGGTCTCATTTGGATTGGTCCTGAATTTGTTTGATATCCTGTTCGAAGTAATTCTTTGAGTTCCAGCTTGTACGTGTCTCACGTCATATAATTCGCCATTCATAAAGATAATTGGTTAAATGGAGTAAAACATACATAAAGGTAGATTAGTATTAGTTGTACTTGATCCAAACAATAGAAAGAAGCATAGATGACTTAGTAGAAAAATAAAACTAATATATAACTAAAAGTGCAATGGATAAGTGTTAGTTCCGGGATCATTTTAGCACAGACAAACAGACGTAACTCTTTGAAAAAGTTTTTCTTGAAAACATAGTATCTCAAAACATAGGACCTCAGTAACGACATCTCTCGGGTTTCTTGCGGAAAAGAAGCTTGCTCGCTAACTCGCAAACAATATTGCATAAAAGTTCTATAGAATGTATAGAAATGTCAAAGTGATCCGATGCCAGCGCTGCGGCGAGTAGGTCGGGGAACTGATAATATTCAAATCAACCGTTAAATACGTGAACGAAGATACACAATGAAGGGTTACGTCTATTTGTCTGTGATTTTAGTGTCAGTAGTTATGTTAGTTTTGAACCGTATTCAGCAATATTTGCAGCAATTGTGATAAGATTATGTGACACTGCTACTACTACTATGTTAGATGTATGACTTGTCAATTTTCGCAACGCAATGTCTTTCAATAAATCACTCAATCAATTTGATGTTTGAAAATTTGCTCAAAAGGGTTTTGTTGACACATCATACCTTACCGAAAACTAAAGCACAACAATCCTAATTCCTATCCTATCAACATATTTAACACTTTCTTCTTCTTCTTCTTATTCGCATTTCAAGCTTATTGCTTACCGCATATTAGCTTATTGCGTGCTCTCAACTTAGTATTCTAAATGCACTTCCACAGTTATTAATTGAGAGCTTTCCATGCCAATACCGATGCATGAATTTGTATATTGTGCGGCAAGCACAATGATACTCTATGCCAAGGGAAGTCGAGAAAATTTCCAACCCGAAAGATTCCCTCGACCGGACCGGGAATCGAACCCGCCGCCTCCGGCTTGGTAATACCGTGCCTTAACTGACTAGGCTATGAGGCCCCTTGACACATATTTAACACATCTTTCCTAAAACTTCACTTGTTCCTAAGCGCCTGGTTGAAGATATGACTTTCGCTATTGACATTGTCTGTAATTAACAAATACACTAAATAGGAAGATTTATTATACAACTTCAAAGGCTAGTCGCCTCCCTAAGCGGACCCCCTCTTATGTTAATTAACTTTCTGAATTCTCTAATTGAAGTTTATTTAATAAATAACTGGAATCTCTAATCTACCTACACAATCATAACCCATGCTTTTAAACTAAAATTTAACGTGTTTCAAGTACTTCTGGCTTTGACATATATTAATTATATCTTTGTTCGTCCCAGGTGACACCTTCAAGTGACTAAAATGCTTCACTTTGAAGTTAGTTTCCAAGCTAATTTTAAATTGTATATTGTATAGGGTAAATGTTCCAATTACGCTCTCACGTTTCCACTATGTGGCACCACAAAAATACATATGGGTATGTCACAATAGAAGCACACCACAGTGGAAATCCCGAGCCATAGTTCAAACATGAACCACATATAAGATTAGTTACAATACCATGTACCAAAATGATGTTTAACATTGTTTCCTGAGTAATACTTCAATGAAAACAACAATGAAAGCTTGTCACGCAAATAGAAGGAGCCCCGTTGGGCACTTTCTGAAATATTTCAACAGTATAATTCCCTTGCAAACCCAAATAAATCTATCTGCGTAAAAATAAATAAAATAAGAGTGATTTGCGGCAAAACCCGCCAGTATCACACCCAACGTCAATGCCTATACGTAAGCGTACTACGACGCGGCTCTCAATCAAAGGAGTAACAAGTGTGATACTATCACTGCTAGACTAGATCTTTGGTTCTCTCATGCAGTGGTTTATCAGAGAGGGGAAGCTTAGTAATCTCCATTGCCTGCCCATGACGCCATTCTATCGCGGCATGAGCCAGCAACGCCGACCATAAACCTACCGTCTCCAACACTCCACTATAAAGCATGAAATTAAGCCCGCCCACCAACAGCAAGGTGCAAAAATTAGCCAAGGGGAGGGTCCACTTTAAACTATATCACTATAATCATAATCTGACGGAGATAATCACGAAAATCAGAAAAACAAAGTTGTTGAATATTACAACCAAACTGCTGCAACCAGGTCAATCCATCGGTTGTGTAATATAACGTTGTACGATGTACATCGATTTTGCGAACAAAATTACATCCATTGATGTAAAGTTGTATCTGCTTTTTGCTATTACATCATTATTTCATACATTACATTGATCGATACAAAAATTTTTTTTTTGCTGTATACTTGCGGGAGCCACTGTTTTTATTGGCTTAATGTGGTAGAAGTTTCGAGGTCGTGACGATAATTAAATCGAACTAAAATGTAGTCTGTTTTGGTGGTAATTTATCAATACGTTCCTGAATGCACTATGTTTGCGTTTTTAACGGGGAACATCGACACGACAAATGCGTAGACGGCAAACAAAATATGTTGATAGCTTTGTTCAGGATAGAATGGAAATTTGGCTAATGCAATGTATTATGGATTTAAAGTGTTTTTTTTCCTTGATTTGTTTTCCGTGCGGAACACCAATGCTACCGACACCAGGGAGGTAGCTCCCACACCATGACCCTACCTATCAACCCATCAACTCATGAACCGGGGACCAACGGCTTTACTTCCTTCCGAAGGCAACCGTGATCAGACATGTTATGCCTCAGAACTTCTCTGCGACGCCGACTTACCACTACACCACCGGCGCTGCTAAAAAGTGCATGTTGATCGATATTATGTTTAAACATTTCCTTCTGTTCCGTACAAAAATTTAAGCATTGATATTAAATTTTATTCTGTTTAGATAAAAAATGTTTATTTTGCGTAAAACGAAAACGTTCTGCACAGGCTTGAGCATTTTCAAAGGATGCCAGATTTCTATTGCAAAAAACTTAGTTGTCAGTTTGCGGGATTTTGTATCCACCAGACTATGAATATAGTGACTATACTTTGAACGCCTATCTAGATAACGGTAAAACAAGACGATAATTCCACATACATTCGTACAACCAAAAAATGATATTTATCAGCGGTTATTGCTCATGTTGCCATTTAATATCTGGGAAAGTTTGAAAGAATAATGCAACTTACCTGGCACTGAACATGGACCGCTCCATGAGCTTGACGCTTTTGTCCGTTTGATGGGTATGCATATTCAGCATCGTCAAAGTCACATAAGTTTGAAATGGCATCGCCCACCGATGCGGTTCCTTATACATAAGATCCAGCAAATTAACTCCCCCGCAGTCACGCCACTTCTCCACTGGCTCCGTCAGTAAACATACGCTGTCCTGGAACTTTTGAAAGTGGTTCAGGAAAGTTGTCTTGCCGCTACCGATGTTTCCTTCAATGAAAACAGTAAATGGCTTCTTGCACGAAGCACCAAGCCTTTCCGGTCCGATCGAAGCCGCCATATTTATAAAAGTACGTCCTGTCGAGGGTATGCAGAAGAAAATTGTAAATATTAAAAACTCATGGGTTCGGAAGCACAAAAGTTAGCACTCACACGATTTTTAAAATAAGTTACACACAATCAATCACACACAAAAAAAATTGCTAGTACGGAATAACCGATTATCAAACGCGGAAAACTTTCGTCAATAAAATTTTGTGGGCCGTCACAGAAAAAGATCGTTTTCGGCGGGAGTTTAAAAGTGAATCCGCGGCATTTGCCAAGTAAACTGACACGCAGCTCTCAAGAGTTAACGAAATTTTAGCGCGAAATCAAAAAGAAACCTGCGCGGCCCAGTGCTAGATAGAGGAATTTGCAAACAAGTCAATTTGATATAACGCATTGCGCACATTACTTAATTTTATGAATTTTATGAGACATAACTATCTCGGGGTTGGTGTCTACGCTAACGGAGTCAAAATAATACGATACGATTTAATAGGACCGAAGTTTTGGGGTATTGTGCGGAAAGGCTAAAAGTACGATTTTACGTTAAATCGTGTTGGTATCTTCTGCGCACTTTTTCCTTGGTTCATAACGAAAAAGTGCTCGGAGACACCAAGACGATACAACGTAAAAGCGCACTTTCTTAGCGATTCCGCACTTTTGCGGAGTCCAGTTAGAAATGCAAAATACAATAATGCCTCTAATTGAACATGAATAAACAACGCATAAAAATGAAATTTGAAATAGAATCAAAAATCTTAACTGAAACGAATCCAACGATGTTGAACAAACAAAAATAAATTATGTAGGTACATTATATTTTGCTCCCTGTTTACAATGACCTGAGCAATGGTATAACCGACAGGCTTACGTGATGATAATAAAATTACAATTACGTTTTACTGAGCAACATTCACTTACGAAATAGAATTTTCGCGAACATGTTTGCTGGTATTTCTTCAAGTATCGCCAATCATGAGATAAATCATCCGATTACATTAAAATTGATTTTTATTGGATAGATTTTCCCTTTGCACTGAATATGAACCATAAACCGAATGTAATCTGCAAAACGCAAAATGTTGAACTGCAACATGATCATTCGATGCACTAATAATAAATGCTAAAAAAATAACAAAAAGTGTTCAAAACAAACAAGTTTTTTCATGTCGTGATGCACGCGGATGCATCTGTCAATTGACAGAAGTTTCAGGCATTTTTTGTATTTTCCTTTCACGGTAAACTTCACTGTATGAGCCTGGTACGCAGCTGAAAAGTAATGACGTTTTTACGTGCTACGGGATAGGACACGGAATGCAAAAGAAATTACTTTTCCTCAGCATTTCTTGACCCAGTACGCAGTTCAAAAGAAATCGGTAAAGGAAAGGTCGATTACATTAGTATCGTGCTCGACATGAAGGTGGCGCATTCTGAATGCAATTTCACTTTCCTTGCGGAATAATGGTCTGATCAATTATTCCGTTAGGTAATATTGGCGTTTATTGCAAAACTGATGTTTTGGATGCATTTGAACAACATAAACACTAATAAGTGTTGATTTTACAATTTGACCACATCTCCCTATAATCTCAAAATTTAGCAGACTATAGCTGTCAAATTTTCTTTTGGGAAAAATCCTCAAAAATTACTTTTCCGTTTTCTTTTCAGCTGCGTACCAGGCTATGCACGTTAATCTCAGACTACCCATATGTTCCAATTGATGAATTGCCGCTAGATTGACTAAGAGATGGCGCAGCAAGCAAAATGATGATGTTTTGTTTTCGAGCTGTCAAAACCCAAGTGTTCTGTTGGATTTGATTAGGAAAATACGTATTTCTGTTGAAATTTTACGGTTTTAGACAATCCTATTACACTGAATGAGTTAGATTTTTAACTATCTAATGTCGTTTTCGTTTTTACTACACTACACCGGTGTAGTGTAAGCAGCAATAAGCGCGAGTCATTGACAGTTTATCATCATTTGTTTGTAAACAAAGGTGCAGCCGATAGCAACACCCTAAAAATTTTCGGTGTTCGGCGGTGTAGCACCGGTGTAGCTAAACCGCAAAAACGAAAACGACATAAGTTATAGTAAGTATTTTATGTAACATAAGTTCATCAAAGTGAACTAATTTGTTCATCTTTATTAGGCTTTCGATGGGAGGCGAAACGGAAGAAAATTGCATCATTCCCAAATGTGCAAACAGTAGCGATTCCGGCACGGTAAAATTCTTCAGAGTTCCTACGGCTGGAAACAAGTTCTTCGAAAAATGGTGCCAATTTATGAAGCTGGCTGGCCGCGGAGATGAGAAAATTTGCCAGGCTCACTTTCAACCAAGGGATTTTATTCATATGACGAATGATGAAGAGGATATCCGCTCCAGCGATAATATGCCATGTGATGATACTGATGAACACCCAGATGAACATCGATCCTTTAATGATCCGTCGCAACCTTATCAACCGGAAACTGATCCTATTTCAGTTCACGTAATGGATGAAAGTGAACAATATGATGATGGAACAGCAGGTGAAACTGTCAACAGCACGGATTATCGTTTGGAAAAGGAGTCAATTGCTGTTAACAGTGTGATCCAAGAGCTTAAAACCCGTGACATAATTCTTTCCGATTTACTGATTACAGATCAGGATGTCAATACATGGACTGGAATACCAACTCTTGCTGTTTTACAAGAGTTGTGCTATTCTGTCAATAAGTTAGAGACGGTATATCCTAAAAAAAATGTGATGCACTGCACTGATCGTGTTATTTTAACTATGACCAAGATCAAACAGAACTTATCGTTTGCGGCTTTAGGTACCCTTTTTCGTATACATCCATCAACCGTAGCAAAATATTTTAGCCATACTGTGCATATGTTGGGGCAGATGCTCGCTACATTTGTGTATATGCCGGAGAAAAGTGAAATCAGGAAAAATATACCGTTGTGCTTCAGGGATAGTTTTTAGTGGGAGTTACTCCAGCGGGTCTAATTTCATATTACAGTAAGGCATATTCAGGAAAGGCATCCGACAAATTCATTTTTAACAATGAAAAGTTAATTTAAAACCTGAAGCCACATATCGACGAAGTTATGACCGATAAAGGATTTGCTATCGAAACAGAGTTGTCAGCGCGAGGAATCAAATTACACATCCCACCATTCTTAAGAAAGAACCGTTTGTCACCAACTGAAGCTCAGCTGAACGAAGCAATCGCGAAAGCTCGAATTTATGTCGAACGAATCATGCAACGAATTAAAATATTTTCAATTTTACACGATACCTTGGATACTAGTATCTTGGCACATATAGACGATATTATGTCAGTCATATGCGGGTTAGTTAATTTAAGCAAACCTATACTTAAAGACGACAAGTTTTAAGGAAATGTGTATTTCGATATTCTATTGTTAAAAGAAGGCTGTGCGTTTAGTAGTCCAATAAATGTGTTGTAACTCATGCTCTACTGTTATTGAAAGTGGTTAGATTTACATCGAAGTCATTAATAAAAAAATGTTTTTTTTTTACGAACTGTTCTGTTTTATTTTGGGTCTTCTCATTACTTCTATCAAATATTTCATATGCTAGCCTGTGGCATCAATTTTGCAAGCATGCGAGTATAATACAAACCTTTAGACCATTTGCAACGTTTTCAACAAACAATTTATCGAAGGGAATTTCAAGGACGATAAAATCATCATCCTTTTTTGAGTACACAACAAAGTCACACAATTGACATTGTAAAACCCACATGTTCATTTGAACTTGGCAGTAGTACGCATGACGTTTGTTCAACATGAGTTGTCCAGTTGCAGAACGATGCACGTACTTCCGGACAGCACTGTTGTTCTCTAATTCTTCTACTCCTTCAGTCTCACCAGCTAAAGGGCATTTAATTTCCACGACTAGTAGATTTAATTGATCTATGCCATCTGGTGATGCCGCAAACCAGCATTCCCCTACTTTAACGACCATTCCACACTTTTTTACTAGTGGATTTCTTTTTGTTCTGTACCAATTGAAAGCTACTTTCTCAGTTTCAGTGCCGTATGCCACTGCTCGTACCTTCAAAGTGACCGTGCTCCAATATCTCGAAATTTTTTGATCCCAATCCGGGTTTTGGTTTGCAAGATATGTGTATAACTTATAACACAAGCTCGCTGTAATTCTCAATGCCCGCTGAATTTTCCAGTAGTTGGAAGATTGACCTCGTGTTTCTTCTGCGACACGCAGAATATTTAACAGGTCCTTTTCTATATTATGGTTGTAGAACAGTTCTTGTTGAGGTGTTTCAAAAGGCACATACTCAACCGTGACCTCAAATCTGTTGGGTGAAAGCATGCTTTGCAGTTCGTTTGACGAACAAAACGAGTCATCAATTGCGGTGTTGACTTGTAATGCCCGACTATGGTAAGGAAACGACGAATTCAGATATCTACCATCCAGATGCTTTTGAATAGCAGATCCCTTGGAAGCTGTAAAGAACAAATTGATTTTTTATATCAATAGTTCAGATTTGAGTTTATCTTGAAGGCAACATAAATATTTAATAAACATTTCAAATGCTGTCCGTAAAGTATTTAGACATTTAACGAAGGGATTGACGAATGCGTTTTGAATGCGTACAAATAAAATAGTGGGGGAGGGTGGTAGGTAGGAAGTGTTTTCTAAGGGCACACAGAAGAGATTCTAAAATCAGTTAAATATTGAAGTAGCTAAAACTTTTTTCCTCTGAGGAATGTAAGTCCCTGTTCAAATCAATTGGAAATTCGGATCAATAGATAGCTACACATACAAATTAAAAAAACAAAACAAAAACAAACCATTCAGAATTCTGCTGAAGCATTCAGTAAGAATACTTTTCTTGAGCTCGGTGTCTGTGGGTTGGATTTCCTTCGATCTACGAACACAACATAAGTCCGATATTGGCTTTGCTCCCCATAAAACGTTTTTTTCGGCCTTCGATGTGCCCCAAATCTGAACTGCATCTGTACAGGTTACGTATTCTGCTGTACTCGACCTAAAATGGGATCATAATGGAAATTATCATATTCATCCAATTCCAAATAATACGTACCGATTTAACTGTAGAAGACATGCAACAATATGCTTACAACGGTTTGTGCCAGCTTCCCGCATAAACGCGAACCATCACATGACCTTACCGATAATGGTTATAAATTGTTTATAATCCCTGCTAAACTTCAACTGAAATGGTTATGGAACTTTACATAAACGTTTAATGATAAAGTTTTAACCTTAAGTATTATAGTTTTTTGGAAGTGGACCTTACAAATAATGGGTTGTTAAGAACCATTACCATTCAAAATTCTTGTTTTCTCCATACATTTTCGGAAAGAGAACTATATTAGAACGTTTTTACTTATGGTTTGAGAACATTAATGGTTATGGTTATGGTAGTCAGTAAGGTCCATTAATGGTTTTGTATTATCGCTCAACTTTACGTGAAATATATCGTGAATTGGTAATCAGTAATTTACAGGCAACCAATTCGCGATATATTCCACATAAAGTTGATCGATGTTACAAAACCATTCATGGACCTTACTGGTTACCATAACCATTACCATTAATGTTCTCAAACCATAAGTTAAAAGGTTTTAGTATAGTTTTCTTTCCGAAAATGTATGGAGAAAACAAGAACTTTGCATGGTAATGGTTCTTAACAACCCATTATTTGTAAGGTCCACTTCCAAAAAACTACACTGATAAATTGAACTATTCCCATTTTGCTTGAAATTTAAACAATTTGACATTAAACTCAGTTTAATCATATCGAATGATTAAAAAATAAGCATCTGATATTAATCCCAGTTTAATCATGGTTGATTAGATTGTAGATTATCTTTTTTTGAATAAATTTTAATCATTTTAGATTCTATTTTAATAATTTTTGATTGAATTTTAATCTTTTTTGATTATACATCAGTATTCAAAAAGAATAAAATTTAATACTGGAAAGATTATTTCGATTTTAATCATGCATGACTATTGCCGAAGTAATCATGGCTCGGACTCAATAAGGTGAAGCGGGAAACTGCATACTTTTTAAGCTTTTATGATTTAATTTATCTTTGAGTGTATAATACTTAAGGTTAAAACTTTATCATTAAACGTTCATGTAAAGTTCCATAACCATTTCAGTTGAAGTTTAGCAGGGATTATAAACAATTTATAACCATTATCGGTAAGGTCAATTTATGGTTCGCGCTTATGCGGGTTTACAGGAGCATTTTAAAACCCAATTTTCGATCCCTTCGGCGGTTTTCAGCTCAACCGTATGAGGAACATGATTCGGGTGGGATGACTGACGAACATAGCCCACAAAATCAACATACCCCAAACATCTGTTTCTGTACCCGATGCATACAATATGTTGGGCTTCGAACACCGCACACAGCAAAAAAAGTTGTTGAATATTACATCGAAACTGCTGCAACCAGGTCAATCCATCGGTTGTGTAATATCACATTGTACGATGTACATCGATTTTGCGAACAAAATTACATCCATTGATGTAATATTGTATCTGCGTTTTGCTATTACATCATTATTTCATACATCAGCTTGAATTACGTTGATCGATATTACATTTTTTTTTGCTGTGCAGATCCCTCCCGGATCGGTCGAACAGAATCCCCGACGTAATCAATTATATCGACCAACTTTATATTAATGTCGATTACATCGCGATTATCCGCTGCACCACTGATCACTCGAACATCTGAAAAAAAGGCCGGAAGTTAGCGATCATAACCTGTTTACATAATCCTATTTGAATGTTCGAAGCTTTTCTATGATTTAATCTTAATGATAGGTTAAATGCATTGTAGTTATATAAAAATGATATTTTCTTACCAGTATTTAGCGCCATTGTGTATCTATAATCAATTCAAACAGAATAACTTAAAATTTTAACAACCGCTGTACACTTTTACATGCAAGGAAAAACAAACATCATCACTTTTGTGGTTTTGGATTTCAAACCGTGTCGCATGCACTGGTGCAGTTTCGCGTAGATTCATCAATAAATGGGTATTTTTTCTCACATTTTAAGATCTCCTGATTTACACATTTTTTGACAGCTGCATGTATACACTAATAGAATTCCACACATTTTTATTGGCGAATTTCCATGTAAAATTCCACATGATTTTCATGTGACAACACATAAACAAAATCCACCCAGAAGCACACATGAAATTTAAAAGTCAAATGAAAAGTATGTGTGGTTACACATGGCTTTTATGTCTACACATATTAAGTATGTGTCCGACACATAGATACCATTTGTTGATCACATTGCAAAAACTCATGTGTGGGACACATAAATACAATCTTTGAAATTTTATCAGTGTACATTTAAAATGTGTAGTTTTTTACTCATTAATGTGTTTACGCTGGTTACAGTGCTGGGTATTTTGCGGTTACCGTGTATGTGTGTAGTGTTTGACAACTACCATCAAATGACAACAGTCGGTAAACACGACGACGGCATCATTTTAGAAATTTCTTGAAATCGGTTCAGGTCAACATCAGCTTGTTAGAATATTGTTGAAAAATCTCGATTGTATCGCAAATTAAACAAATCACAATGCCTAAATATTACTGTGACTATTGTGATACTTACCTGACACACGATTCGCCTAGCGTGCGCAAAACTCACTGTACTGGTCGGAAGCACAAGGACAATGTTAAATTCTACTACCAGAAATGGATGGAGGAACAGGCCCAACATCTCATCGATGCGACTACAGCAGCATTCAAAGCAGGAAAGATTGCCCAGAATCCTTTCACCACTGGACCTCCAAAGCCGAATGTTGCTATTCCACCGCCTACATTAGGAATGCCTGCTCGACCAGGAATGATGCCCGGTATGCCAGCTGGTGCTCCGCCTTTGCTGATGGGACATGGACCGATGGGAATGCGTCCTCCAATGATGATGCCAATGGGTGAGTTTTAGATAACATTCTGACCACCGTTTTCACAGGGCCTCTAATGCATGTAATTTATATCTTCTGTCTTACAGGTATGCCTCCAATGGGAATGGGAATGCGCCCCCCAATGATGAATGCTCCTCCACCTCAGATGAACCAGAAAGCGTAAGTAATAATCATCATTGTGTATTGTGCATAATTTATCGTGTACAAGTTAAGAGTATATGCTACTGCGATTTTATGATAATATAAGCCAACTTGAATGAACAGTTCCTCGATTCCGTTCCTGTAGTGTGATCACATGGCCATCATTTGTCTTGTTTAGATAACTTGTTTGTCGAGCTGATGAGTGGTTAATTTGGTCCACGCTTCAGTGGCGCAGCAAGAAATAATGTTTAGTAGAGGAAAGGAATGAAGAGGATTAACACAATAATTTCCACCTTGGCTCGGCTAGCACTACTACTCTAAACGGAACTATCAATTCTATACTTTCAGCTCCTCCTCATCTATCGTATAAAAATTACCACTTCAGTCTGTTATTTGAAATTAGCATCTTCAACTATGTAGCACTACTTTTTTTTTCCTGGACCGACCTGGTTTTTGGGAATTATAATATCTATACACTGCTGTACAATGAAACCCCTACTAACTTGGTTCGTGGCTACTTGTATTCAGTCTCTTGAGCGTCTTGCCTATACGAGCACTATCGCACCCAGTTCCTTCAGCCAACAGATACATTGTATTCGACTTATCCATCTTTAATCCGGGCATCGTCAAGGTTGGCTGGTCATTGTGCTCGCTGAAAGCCACTCCTCGGGTTACCAAGCAACTGGAGCGATGCTTCAAGTGCATGGGATTCGGTCACCAGGCGAGGAACTGCAATGGCCCTGACAGATCTGATCTGTGCAGGAAATGCGGAGAGAAAGGCCATATTGCAAAAGGGTGCATTAAGCAACCGAGGTGTATGCTCTGCAAAAAAGAGGACGGAAACGATCATACGACGGGAGGCTTCAAAAGCCTAGCATACAAATTGGCGATGGCAGACCAACATTAATGGAGGTAACGCAAATAAACCTCAATCATTGCGACATTGCTCAACAACTGTTGTTGCAGTCGATAACAGAAACAAAGTGCGACGTTGCAATCATTGCGGAACCGTATCGAGTCCCTCCCGATAACGGTAACTGGGTGGCGGATAGAGCTGGGATGGCTGCTTTACAAATTATGGGCAGATACCCCATTCAAGAAGTGGTTGCGAGCTCATACAAAGGTTTCGTGATCGCCAAAATCAACGGAATCTTCATGTGTAGTTGTTACGCACCCCCCAGATGGACGATGGAGAAGTTCCATGAGATGCTGGATGGGCTTACCGAAGAGCTGATCGAACGACGACCGGTAGTCATCGGAGGAGACTTCAATGCCTGGGCAGTGGAGTGGGGAAGCAGATGTTCCAATGCAAGAGGGCACAGTCTGCTGGAAGCTCTGGCAAAACTGGAAATTATGCTGGCCAATAAAGGCACCAGCAGCATTTTTCGCACATGGCCGAGAATCCATTAACGACGTTACTTTCTCCAGTCCGTCGCTGATGGCAAACATGGATTGGAGAGTGTGCGAAGGATATACCCATAGCGACCATCAGACGATACGATATGGCATCGGCCAACGGAATACTGTGGCAGTACGGAGGACGAGAACTTGTGACCGGAAGTGGAAGACGAAGGATTTCGACAAGGATCTGTTCGTTGAAGCACTTCGTGTTCACAGGAGTCCCGCAGATCTAAACGCGGACGAGCTGACAGAAACGTTAGTGGGAGCATGTGACACGACCATGCCGAGGAAACTGGAGCTAAATAACAGGCGGCGACCAGTCTACTGGTGGAACGAGGCACTTAGCACTCTCCACGCTAGTTGTCTCAGAGCCAGAAGACGTGTTCAGAGAGCAAGAACGGAAGCAATCAGAGAGGAACGAAGAGAAGTGTTTCGAGCGGCTAGGGTCGCACTTAAACGAGAAATAAAGCAGAGCAAGTTAAACTGTTTTAAGGAGCTGTGTCGAGACGCTGGTGTCAACCCCGCATACCGAGTCGTGATGGCGAACATCAGAGGTCCAACAATGCCTGCTGAAATGTGCCCAGAGAACCTGAAAGTCATCGTGGAAGGATTCTTCCCGAAGCACGACCCAACGACCTGGCCACCTACACCGTACGGAGAAGGAGAGGGAGATAACATCGAAGTAACCAACGAGGAACTCGTAGCAGTAGGAAAGGATTGAAGGTAAAGAAAGCTCCCGGTCCGGATGGAATCGCGAACGTAGCGTTAAAAGTGGCGATCCAGGCGTCCTCGGACATGTTCAGGATGGTGCTGCAGAAATGCCTGCACGAGGGTCATTTCCCTGACAGGTGGAAGATACTGAAGCTACACTAATAAAATTCCACACATTTTTATTGACGAATTTCCATGTGAAATTCCACATGATTTTCATGTGACCACACATAAACAGAATCCACCCAGAAGCACACATGAAATTTATGAGTCAAATGAATAGTATGTGTGATTACACATGGCTTTTATGTGTACACATATTAAGTATGTGTCCGACACATAGATATCATTTGTTAATCACATTGCAAAAATTCATGTGTGGGACACATAAAAATAATCTTAATGTTACCCATTAACCTCGAGCCCGCCACTAGTACCCAATACTAACCTAGAACTACTGCTGTTTAAAATGTTAATTCAAGCATTACTGATATTTGGCTCCGCAGAGTGTCACACATGACTGAGCATAGTAAATAAATGAACTAGTAAAAAAAAAAATATTCTTTGAAATTTTATAAGTGTAGTGTTGCTACCGAAACCAGGAAAACCACCGGGACATCCATCATCGTATAGGCCTATATGCCTGCTGGATACACTAGGAAAACTCTAGGATCATCATAAACAGGCTGACGAAATGTTCGGAGAGTGAGTACGGATTGTCGGAGAGGCAGTTCGGATTCTGGAAAGGAAGATCGACGGTAGATGCAATTCGGACAGTGGCCGAGAGAGCCGAGAAGGCGTCCAAACAGAATCGGAGAGGAGATCGATATTGTGCCGTGATTACGATCGACGTCAAGAATGCGTTCAACAGCGCCAGCAGGGAGGCCATCGCCGAAGCGTTGCATAGAATAAGAGTCCCTGTTAACCTGTGCAGGATCCTGAGGAGTTATTTCCAGAACCGGGTCCTGGTCTACGAGACAGACATGGGACTAAGATCGATTAGATTTACAGCGGGAGTTCCACAAGGCTCCATCCTTGGTCTAACGCTCTGGAACGGGATGTACAACGGCGTGCTAACACTGAAGCTGCCCAAAGAAGTTGAGATCGTTGGCTTTGCGAACGACGTCGTCTTGACGGTAACAGGCGAGACGCTGGAAGTGTTGTCAACAGAGGCGATCGATATGATTGGTTACTGGATGCAAGGAGCGAAGCTGCAGATAGCCCACTACAAAACGGAAGTGTTATTGATCAGTAACTGTAAAGTGGTACACCGGGCAGAAATCACCGTCGGAGAGCATGCCATAGCCTCAAAACGTGTGTTAAAATAACTGGGACAACCACGTCGAATATGTAAGATGGTTTCGAAGGCCATCAACGCGATAGCTAGAATCATGCCAAACAACGCTATTCCCAGCAGTAACAAGAGGCCTCTTCTGGCCAGTGTGTCGTCGATGCTGAGGTGTGGAGGTCCAGCCTGGGTTCCTGCGCTGGAAACGAAGCAGTACTAAAGGAAACTGAGCAGTACGGTCTGGCTGCTTCAGGGAATACCTGCATTGGTTCAGACACGCAGCGTCACCCCTCTGTCCGGAGTGTGGCAATGTCGATGAAAGGCCGTAGCATGTGGTCTTCGACTGTCCTAAGTTCGATACAGAGCAAACGGCGATGCCCGTCCTTAACGTGGAGAATGTCGTCGATGAAATGTGTCGGAGAGGAGGATACTTGGAATGCCGTCAACAGAGCAGTCACACAGATTATGTCGAAGCTGCAGCGTAAATGGAGACGGTTCCAAGTATTATGTCCACAGCAACAACAAAAATCTTCAAATAAAACGACAAAACGTCCTCAAATCTACTTCTAACATTTTCGGGCGGTAGAAGTATTGACTCATGAACCGGGGACCAACGGCTTTACTTTATAGGAAGGCGTAATCAGAGATATTATGCCTCAGAACCAGGGTTGCTTCCACTCACATGCTATAAAACAATGGTTATCAAAATTATGAGATCATTAGATGATATAATTATATGTTGTACTTGTAACTAACAAAAAAAGGGTGTAAAGGATGTGTTTGACTCATAAAACCTGTCAATTTCGTTTTCAGAGCGTCACAATCGACGATCTTATGATTCGCGAGCGTTCACTCTGAGTGAGCGCTCACGAATCGTTAAATCGCTGATTGTGACGCACTGAAAGCAATATTGACAGGTTTAATGTGGCAAACACATACTTCACGACTTCTTCTTGTAACTTACAAGTACTAATTATCATTATAACATCTAATGTTTTCATAATCCGGAAACACAATTTTTTATAGCAAGTGAGTGGAAGTAACCCTGCTCAGAACATCCCGGCGGCGCCGACTGGGATTGAACCCACACCTCTTGGAGTGAGAGGCAATCACGTTTACCACTACACCACCGGCGCCACTAATTACAAGTCAGTACGCGGATTCTTGTTCCAGGGGAACAAAGTTTCGTGGTCCAGTAAAAAGCAAACATTACATGACGTTGAGTACTGCACCGGCTGAAGCTATTTGGTTCATAGGAATGCTGAGCAGCCTTGGGTTGCAAGAAGTAAGAGAACAATAGTGGGTGCATCGGAATGGTGAAGACTATCGAGAGCTAGTGAGCCAAACACATAGACATCAAACACCATTTCGTTCGAGATCATGTCGCCATTGAAAGACTGTATGTAGAACCAATCCATACGTTCGAGCACGAAGGGCTGAGTAGGAACCTGAGATAGTACGATGGAGTGGGAGAAAGTATACCTCGATTACTTTGATCGATCGTCACAGCGAAAACTAACGAGCCGTTTCTTGGAACTTTTTAAACACGTCTCAAAATGTGAATCTTGTAATGAACGGTAACTGACCACTACTATGTGTTTTGTTTAGTTTGTAAGGATTAACTAGTGTTAATCAATCTTTCAACTCCGTCTCTTCCATCGGCTCATGCTAGACTCACTAGCTCTTTATTCTGGACCCTCATCTCGAGTCTCTTTTCGTATCTCGTTGCACTCTTAACATTAATTACTCTGAACAGGGTAGATACTACAAATCTAATGTCTAATGTAATGGGTATGCCAGTTTTTTCCTTTGGTTTTAAACCAATCTCAGGTCGAGGTATGCACTTCCCGGAAAACCTATCTCGGTAAAACCCAAAACTTCACAAGCTCAAAATTTGAAAATTTAATGTGATCCTTGTTTGGTTTTCAGGTCAGTATGAATATTTTGTTTTCCTCTTTCTTCTTGTACCTACATTAACGAGCGTGTTGAAGTTTAAAATTGTTTATTATCTTCATCGAGTGTTAACCTCAAAATGTAGCCGGCGCCGGTGGTGTAGTGGTAAGCGCCAATCGATGTCCGTCGGTGATTGGCACTAGATTGTGGAACGGAGACCAACGTTAAATGAAGGAAAGAATAACCTCAATGTATGGACATTCCAAATCGGCTTGTCGTCAGTTTGTGATGTATTTTCCTTGGATTTTTACTACTACACTCTCACACAGCGCACTGAACGCGATAATCTCTTTAACCGAAAATGTTTATTCCATTGTTAAATGTGAAGTACTATGATTTAAGACTAATATACTTTTTTCTTTTTCTCGTATATTCTACAATTCTAGGTATTATAACACAAACTATCATTATTATTGCTAATCATTTTTAAGATGTTTTGTTACAAGTTGAATAAATAAAATCTTTCAGATAATTCAGTGGTTTAACTAAAGAAGAAGAAGAAGGTTTAACACGCTCCCTGAAAATAGATCCACGGTCAATAAGTATATCGCGTATTGGCAACCTTTATCTAAAATCTAATAATCGTGAAGCTTTATGAGAAATGGTAAATGATTATGTGGGTACACTGAAACAAGGACCATAGTAAGGAATAGTATTTTGCGGAAAACACTTATTTTCAATATAATATTGTTCACAAGCAAATCGATTAACGTGTCCCATTGTAGTCGAAATTCTAGTACTACACTATGTTTGTTTTGATTCGCTATGAAAATTTGACAGATAAAATGAGGGGTTCGTGGATTTTCCTATGTTTCGAGGGGTGCATCGATTAGCTTGGGACCGAAGAGAGTACCAGAGCTGAGCCAAAAAGTCTAGTACGTTTCTTCGGGACCTACTAGTCTTATGGTGGTAAGCTCCAACCGGTATTATCCTCTCATTGAATCCCGATCAAGAATGTCCGGCGGCTTTGATGTAGACATCAGAGTTAATCAACACGACTCTAAGCAAACACTTTGCAGATCATCCATACAGGGACGGTATTAAAAGTTAATCCGAGTTGGAGCTTACCGCCATTAGAGTTACCTCTATGATATAACGATATAACCACGCTTATTACCGTTCAATCTACTTTGATTTCAGTAAAGTTTACTATGAATATAAGCAAATTTACTATGACTCTGGCAAAACTACTAGGCTTGCTCAAAATGCATAGTTATTTTGATAGAAATAACAGTAACATTAAATGAAATTATTTTCTGCAAAAATCTATTGGTGAGGGTATTTAATTTAAACCAGCAATATAGTATTTTTGCCAATGGATTTTGTATTAGTGTATGGCTTACATGGTATTTATTTCATCATCCACATTTCAAAAAGGCGGAACTGCTTTTGTAACTAATAGGCTTAGCTGTCTATTTCTTTTGAATAAAAGCTCACTAATCTATCAACACCATCAAACAGGAACATATTTCTTCTACCAGTTGAGATAGTTAGTTTGCCAGAACGAGCTTTCTTTTTTTTTCCTTGATTTGTTTTCCGTCGATCTTGTTTTCCGTGCTGAGCACCAATGCTACAAACGCCACGGAGGCAGCTCCCACACCTGGACCCTACCTATCGACCAATCAGCTCATGAACCGTGGACCAACGGCTTTACTTCCGCGTGATCAGTAGACTGATGCAAAATTTGACTTTTTCGCTCCACAGTGCTTAAATGATTTCAAAACGGGTCCTGATTAGCCTCTCAAAGTTACAACTCATTTAATTAGAAACAGACTTCGCACAAGTCATTTGAAGTTTACATGTAAATTACTATGGGAAATCTCAACTTTTTGTTTATTACCTTCTAGTCTTTTTAAATATTGCCATTCTTATAGAAAATTTTCTCGGCTACAACTTTGCTGAAGATTGTTTCTATGTAAAACGAGACAGGAAAAAGTTATTAATTATTTAAGAGATTGGTAAACTTATGACATGATCAAGCAGCTGCTCTGTAGGCAACACTGTATTTTGCAGTGTGACATAGTAGCCATGATTTGTGTGTGCTATTCAACGCCCCAGAAACACCAATGTTGCCTGCTGAGCAGTTGATTGAGCATGATCATAAGACATCAGCGCATTGAACCATTGATAACTTTCGATCCTGTTGTAGCTGGGAAAATTGCCTACAAGTGCAGTTTGTGCCATCTCAGTTTCTCACCAAATGGGTTCAAATTTTGAGAGGTTAGTCAGGATCAGATTTGGAATCGTTTAAGTATTGTAGAGCGAAAATTTCAAATTTTGCATCACTCTAGTGATCAGAGATGTTCTGTCTCAGAACATCTCGGCGGCGCCGACTGGGATTTAATCCAGACCTGTTGGGGTGAGAGGTAATCACGCTTACCACTACACCACCGGTACCGCTAGAACGAGCTTTCATTTGTAATAAATCGGCGGTTGAAGTCTGAAGTCATTGTTGACAAAAGCAGTTTTGCCCTAATGAAATATTGGCATCGATTTGTCAAACCTTTTTTATTATTTTCATCCGTTTGCATACAAATTCCCCTGGATTGAAAAAATTAAACTCCTGGTTTTAGCTGGTTTCATAAATAGGGTGCGGTACCTTTCCGGTCCGGTCGAAGGAATCTTTTGGGTTGGAAATTTTCGGACATAGAGTATCATCAACAATCAATACGAAACTAACGATTTTAAATTGTCTCACTACTTGACTAGCCTATTGGTCTCGAGATTGGACCCAAGTGATAATTTATTAGCTAGAGAATGATCTTTAGAAGAGGGTAGGTGGATAGTTCCGTTAGAGTACGGCAGTATGAAAATTGAATAGAAGTTTGAAAATGAGCGACAGTTTTTTTTTTTTTTAAAGATAGACGCACATCTTTTGCCTAACCCTTAAGGCCCACGCACATTAGATCCGGATCGGACGCGTTGCGGCAAAGTGACAGCTAAATCTATTGTCTTACTGTCAAATTTACGTCAACGCAACGCAAACGGATCTAATGTGGGTGGCCTTTTACGATGTACGCGGAGACTTGAAGTATGTCTCCAAGTCTACAGGCAAAAAATGTGCGTCCATCTTTTGCTCATAAACTGACTGCGGCTGTGGAATAGTTCTAGCGACGTTTTCATCACTACCTAAAGCCCCACGTTGCGAGAGCATTTCCAGTCGATGGTGTGTTATAATGCAATTCTTCTTTACCCAACTATTGTGTTGCTCCTCTCGTCGTATCCCATTCTAGTATAAATTTCAGTACTACACTATGTTTGTTTTGATTAGCTATGAAAGCTTGACAGATAAAATGAGGGGTTCGTGGATTTTCTTATGTTTCGAGGGGTGCATCGATTAGCTTGGGACCGAAGAGAGTACCAAAGCTGAGCCAACAAGTTGAGGACGGTTCTTCGGGACCTTCTGGTCTTAGAGTTACCTCTATGGTATCATTGTGCTTGCCACACAATATGTATACAAATTCATGCATTGGTATTGAACACTAAGTTGAGAGCACGCAATAAGCTAGTATGCGCTGGGCAATAAGCTTGAAATGCGAATAAGAAGAAGACCTTGTTACAAGTTCCCCGGTAGCGGTAGAGCAGAACTACCGTAGGGCCAACAAAACACAAACACTAATCGGCATTTGCTCCAACCAAAGCAAAAGAGTGTCGAATAACAGTTTAACATTTATTCATTCGCACCCATTCTCCCACATTCCTACTCCTGATTCCTACTTCCTCTTCTTCCTCTCTCTATCCTTCGTACTTTTCCGGCAACCTTGTGCCTCCTATCATCTTTCCAACTATATCAATTTTTCTTCTTATGAGTACTCACTTTGCCGGTCGGGTGCACCCTTACCGTCGCACAAACGCCGTCTCGATGATGCTGCTATTCGCACGTCTGTTTGGCTCCACACGCACAACACACCTGCGCTCCTGCCGTCGCTCTGGATGGAGATTCACTCCTCGAAACACCGTCGATCATATCAACGTAAGTGCTCGCGGGTTCGTTTCCCTCCACGTTGGACGTCGCTTCCGTCGAGACCACTAGTTGCTAGCGGCGTGCCCCGTCGCTTCGATGTCGCAAGCACTCCGAGGAGAATAAACCTCGCCTGAGGGTTCCGCAGGTGATGCGGGCTTCGACACTGACCACGTGTCACGATCACGAGACAATCCGATCCAATGAGGTGCTGAAAGTATGGAACAAAAGCCCTGGAACGACTTCCATTAGCTTCAATGCGACGACCCTTTCGTCTGAAATCACTCACTTCTTTTGAAGGCTTCGTCTTTCGATGCCACGATCCACCGCGGCCGGGCGCTGTCCGTGCGATCGGATCTCGTGCTGCTGATCGTCGTCAATTCTCCACGTGCACCTGTGGTTATGGTACTTTAATTATGGTTATTTTATGTACCGAAATTATGGTACCTCTTCTCGCTGCCGGTATGTACGCTTTGTGTGGCGAGAATCTTTTGATTGCCGCGCCGTTTCCAAGCGGGCCGTTTGCAGATCTCTTCGTTTCGGATCTTTTGGACACTGCCGCAATCTTCCGATATCCGTCGGATCGAAAGGCGGTCGTTTTGGCACCACTCACCGCCGAAATTGCAGCCCGCGCGCCGACGAAGAACAATTTTCACCACGCACTCTACTCGCACTCGCGACAACCAAAGAAACGAATATTTTCGGGTTCTTTTCCGACCCACGCTCTTTTGCGTGCTGTTTGCACGGGAATCTTTTCACTTCTGCCTTTCGCTGTGTTCGACGGATCCGGTACAGGCTGATGTGGATGTGTGTGTGCGTGCGGAAGCACAGTCAGCAGACTCAATGCTGAATCATTATTCGTCAAAACAATTTGCGTTGCTCGTTCCTTGTCAAGCGATGTGACCTCTGCAGCATCTTTTGTTTATGCACGTTCGAATGTGTTTAAGCAGCAATTGTGTAAAATTACTCGTTTTTACCAAACACAGGAAAAAATTACAACCCAAATCTAAAACGTAACACAACTCTACCGTAGCGGAAGAATTTTTTATGAATCGGTGATCAAACGATTCATAAAAAATTCAAAACTCATCCCTCAGGATGTTGGTCAGAGACTTCAACGGTCAACAAAACTCTTGAGCAGACCTCAAGTTACAAAATTCAACTAAATCGAAACATAAAACGTACGCAAGCCTCGGCTGCTTGCCAGATCTTAATCTCCCATCACTACCTGAACTGCCTAATCTAAATGCTTACAACCGCCAGCTGCTTCTGGCAGAACTACTTCGACCTTCCAAATCGTCTCTGACCTTGTCCTTGTCCAAGCTTCCACAAATCCGTGCCCACTACGGCGAACATTCAAACGGATTCTAGCCTATTGATATAGCAATAATAGGCTCAATCTCACACAAAACGAAAAGAAGCTTAGATATTAATGATTGGCTTAACATATTAATATTTACAAGGACTAAAATGGTTTGTATTGGTTTATGCGGTGCATCTGAGAAAAGTTGCATTTCCGCGACTAAATCGTCATGAGCCCAGAGTGAGGGGTTTTACCGCGCCCCGAATCGCGTTGCTTTGGGATGGAAATTTCATGACGATCCCCAGAGATTTTAACCTTTGGGAACGCATTCGAGTTAACTGGACACGCTTGAGGAAGTACGTGATCACCAATCCAGTCTTGGATGTGTTGTGCCGGGTTTTGTGTTTTCTTGCTTGGTAGCTGGCGTAGCTCATAGCTCTGTTGTCAGTGGTTAGTGGTTGTAGTTGGTGATGAGCTGGTTTGTCCCGATCGGCGAACGGCTTGACCACTTGGTGTGTTTTGGTGTGAGGTCTCCTCTTCCTGGTTGGCAGTTGTTTTGCGGACATAGCTTGATGATATGCACAGTTTGTCACGTCTGGCAACGGCATGTCAGCGCGAAGCATAAACATGGTCAGTTTCTCTCGCCCTGACTAACGGCCTGCCCGGTTGGGCTCCCTTCAGTCCGCGTCACCGAGACCCCCATCGGATGCATGCCAGACTGATGATACGCACCAACTCCCTGCAGTCCGTTTCCAGCCTGTCAGGGTACGATTTCTCCCGTATCGTGAACGGCTCGCGCGGTTGCGCTAAGATCCGTAGCATTGCACATCATCAAAGACTCATCAAATCGTGCTTATCAAGGTGGAGAGGTAGTTAATTACGTTTTTGCTCATCACACCTGACGGACGTTGTCCTTCCACCCGTTAGACGGTGTTTTCGAGGCTTTCGCTCTTCGTTGACAGGCATTGCCTGTGGACATAGCTGTTACAATCCGATTTAGTCGGCCTTGATATCCTTCGCATGGTACCTTCCTTTCTTGCCGCTCAAAACGTCCTCCAAAACGTACAAGTTCGTTCCCAGGATCTCCTTCACGACTGCTGGAACGAATTTCGGTTCGAGCTTGCTGTTTATTTGATCTGCCTTCGACGACAGCACGAATGATCGCCGCCAGACTAGGTCTCCCACCTTGAATGCGACTACTCTTGATCGAAGGTTGTACCGTTGCTTCGTCCTCTCGTGGTTGTTCTTGATACGCTGGATGATGAGCTGCTGTATTCGGCGAATCGCTGATAGACGCAAGTCCTGTGCCACCTTCGGATCCTCCGGCGTATTCAAGTCTTGCTGTGTGTAGAGATCCGTGTGTAGTAGTAGGTTCCTCCCGAAGTTTGCTTCATGCGGACTCACTCCTGTCGCCTCGTGCTTGGCCGAGTTAATCGCAGCGGTGATGGCCGATAAGTTCTCGTCCCATTCTCGATGATCTCCCTCCAACAACGACCGGATACAAGTGACTATGACGCGGTTCACTCGCTCCGCATTGTTGACTTGCGGGCAGTAGAATGCGGTTTTCATATGGCTTATTTTGTGCCGTGCCAGCCATGATTTGAACAGCATCGACTCGAACTGCTTTCCGTTGTCGGATAGTATTATCCTTGGACGCGAGAGCTTCAGGCAAATCTCCTTCTCCAGGAACTCCACCATCTTCTGCGAATCCGCCGTGCGCATCGGCTGGACGATCACGTACTTGCTGACCCAATCCACCACCACAAGTAGCACCGTGTTTCCTCGCTTGGAGCGTGTGAGCGGCCCGACGAAGTCCACCGATATCATCTCCCACGGAATTTTCGCCGGTTTCGGGTTACCCATCTGCGGCATCATTCTTGTACCCGTAATCGTTGATTTCCTGTTGCATCCGCGGCCAGTAGTAGTGCGCCTGCAACTTGTGCCAAGTCTTGTAGAAGCCTAGATGAGCAGCGGCTGGTTCGTCGTGGAATCTGCGGATCAACTGTATTCTATCCTGCTTCGGAACAACCTGCTTCCACTTGTGGAACACTGCTCCTACTTCGTCCTTGCAGCGACAGTTCTTGAACAGGACATCATTCGCTATCCGAAAATCTGGAAACTGGTCTCCGTCGTTCTTCACTTTTTCGATCAGCTTCGTGTACCATGGATCCTCTATCTTTTCTGCGGTAAACACTGCTTCCGCTACCGTCCTCGACAAAGCATCAGGAACTACGTTGATCGAGCCTTTTCGGTACCGGATCTCGAAATCGAACGCATTCAGCCTCAACAGCCATCTGCTCATCAGCGCTGTCGGATTCTTCATGGACTTCAGATAACTGAGCGCCGCATGATCGCAATGCACGACGAACTTGACTCCTTCTACGTAGCCTCTGAACTTTTCGATCGCCCTGATCACCGCCAGGCATTCCCGCTCCGTGACCGAGTACTTTCTCTCCGATGCTGACAGCTTTTGCGAGAAGTAGCTGATGGGATGTTCCTCTCCGTCGATTACTTGAGTGAGGACCGCTCCAATCGCTGTATCGCTCGCATCACATGCTATGGCGAACGGCTTACCGTAGTCGGGCATCGCTAACACCGGGGCTGATACCAGGGCTGCCTTCAGCTTGAGGAATGCTTCTTCCGCTGCCGGAGTCCACCGGAACTTCGTCTTCGCTCTTGTTAGATCAGTCAGTGGAGTTGCGAGCTGCGAGAATCCTGCGATGAATCGCCGATACCAATTACAGACACCCAGAAAGCGTTGTACTTCCTTCCTGGTCGAAGGTGTTGGGAACTGCACGATCGCTTCGATTTTTCCGTCGTCCACGCGCCATCCTTGTTCATCAATCACATAGCCGAGGTACTTCATCCGCTTCCTGCAGAACATTGACTTCTCCGATGATATCGTCAGATCCGTTTGCTGTAGTCGCCGAGCCACTTCTTCGAGCAGGGCGATGTGCTCTTCGAAGGTTTCTGAGCAGATGATGATGTCATCCAGGTAGTGAAAGACCTGCGGTTCCATGTCTGCGAAGATGTGCGTCATCAGCCGTGCCAAGGCTTGACTGGCCGTGCACAAACCAAAAGGCACCACCTTGAATTGAAAGTGGCCTCTGGATGGAACGGTGAACGCCGTTAGCGGCCTTGATTTTGAGTGAAGCGGAAGCTGCCAGAAAGCATCCTTGAGGTCTATCGACGAGATGAATTTACTGCTTCGGAGGTTGTTAGTTATCGATGCGATCTGCGGAATCGGATAACCCTCGTTCACCATGATCGAGTTGAGGTGACGGCCATCTAAGCAGACGCGGTACTGACCGGTCTTCTTTTTGACGGCTACTAATGGGTTGTTCCACGGCGAGAATTGAGCTTCTTCGATGACGTCCAGTGCAATCATCCGATCGATTTCTCGATTGACCTCCTGGAGAACGTACGGTGACATAGGGTAGTGCCGTTGCTTCCTTGGTGTGGCGTCTCCTACTTCGATTCGATGTTCGTACATGGTCGTGCGTCCCAGCTTGCCATCCTGCGCCTTCGGGAACTTCGCTATAGTTCTCTCTAAGTGCCTTCTCTGCTCTGCCGACAGCTCCTTCATCTCTTGGTCTTCACTCCGTTCCTCTTTGTTTTCTACTTCGACCGAGCAGCAAACAGCCTTAACTCCGAATTTGTCCCAAAAGTTCATACCCAAGATGACGCAGTCTGGGATTGATGGCACCATCAGAACTGGGAGAACTTCGTTTCGGTTGTTGTACACTATGGGAAGGTAGACGAATTCGCTGATACTATGCCGTGTTCCGTCCGCTGTCTTGATTCCTCCTTTCACGTTTCCTTTCTGCAACCCATAATCCTCTGCCAGCTGGGTTCGTTTACCGCCGAGCAGCGAGCAGTTGGCTCCGCTGTCTAGCAGTGCAGTTAACTCTTTTCCTAATACCGATATTACAGCGTGCGGTCGATTGTCACTTCCGGGGTTGATGATTATTGAGTTGAGGTTCTTGAACTCTGGGATTTCTGAGGGTTGTTCGAGAGTATGCGGAGAGCTGCTTCCCTCTATTGCATGTTCCCCGCCGTGTAGTTTACCGCATCTGAGTGGCAAGTGAAGCAACTGCGCAGGGAATATCCTTTCCGTCCACAGCGGTAGCAGAATAACACCGCCTGCGGCTTAGGACAGTCCATGAATCTGTGTCCTTCTTCGTCGCAGTTCCAGCAGATCATTACCAACCGTTGGTGGTTTGCCGCCGATTGTTGCTGATCACTTTGCTGCTCCACTCTATCTGATCGGTCTTGTTGTTGCGGTTCGCTCCTCCTGCGTGTTTCGCCGGTTGATTCCCCTGTCTGCTGCTGATTCCAACGCTGTGGTTGCCAACCCTGCGTGCTCTGCTGGTGGTCCACCTGTTGCTGCATTCGCGGTATTGGTTGTGGCGCGTTCTGCGGGCGTAGTTGTTGCTGAGCAGACGCCGATGGCATGCTGGTGTATTGTTGACGTGGTTGCTGCAGCTGATCAGGTCCCGAATGGTTAGATCTACCGCCAAGTCGAGGCTGCCGCTGGTTTTGCACTGCTTCGTTCGGCCTAGAGCTCTTCCTTTCGAAGTTCATTTTAAGAGCGTTCACTTGCTCAACGAGCTCATCGAGCTTGTACTGCCAGTTGTCTTCCTCCGGATCTGCTGACGCTTCTTCTTCCTGAATTCCTACGACTTCTACTGCGTGCACCCTGTTGAAGCGATGCGGATGTTGCTGTGGTATTTGCACTGGCCTGCTGCTGGCCGCAGGTGTCGCAAAGTTCGGCTCTAGTAGCGCATTATGTGGAATTGGGATGCGACGCTGCCTGTTCAATAGCATCCTCGTTTCGTCGTAGCTGGTACAAATCTCTACCATTTCTCGTAACGATCGAGGCCTTGCTGCTGTAACAATCGCTGCATAGTCCGCGTTCATATTCTTCTTCACTATGAAACACTTCTCTTCTTCCGGAACTGGCGGCTCTACGAACCGGAAAAGTGCAGAGATGTCCCGGTAATATTTTGCAAACGACTCGCCGGCTCCTTGGAATCGAAATGTTGCTTCCAGACGAAGAATTTGGGAGTATCCACTTGGCAGGAATTCTCTCCGTATCTCCCGTTTGAACGCATTCCATGTCGGTAGCAATTACTGTGAAGTAGCTCTCGCATACCAGTCAAGAGCGTCCTCCTGTAACAGGTGCTTGATGGAGATCAGCAGTGTCTCGTCGGTCATGCCCTCTGACCTGGCGAACGTCTCAACGCGATCCAAGAAAATGTTGAGCGATGTTGTATCCTTTTCTCCTCTAAATTTGAATGGCCAATTATGTACCGCCTTCAGTATCCTTCTCTCGTCCTCCCGCCTTGCTGGAGCTGGTTGTCTTTCTTGGCGAAGCAGACGAGCCAGTAGCTCGTCACGAATCCTGTGGTGCTCTTCCCTGGCTTGCGCTTCTCGGGCTCGTGCATCCCTTGTTTGCGCTTCTCGTGCTTCTTCTTCTCGAGTTCGTGCTTCTCTATACTGCCGCTCCCTCGCTCGAGCTTCCCTTGCTTCTGTATCTCTGGCTCGCAGCTCTCTAGCTCGTGCCTCCCTAGTCTCGTATTCGTCATTGACGTCGTATGGTGGAGGTGGCGAACCATGACGACGATCCGGTGATAATCTTAGGCCGCTCCTGATGCTTCGACGATCTTCATGTGAGTTTGACAATAACAAACTTTGACCCCGTCCTCCTGAGAACGAAACCAGTCGTGGCGTCGATGACCCTGACGGTGGTAGTTCGTCCTGTTGTCCAGCGTGTTCCCCCGAATTCGCCGAATTGTTTCCTCCTCCAACAGCGCCTTGCTCTTGATCAATGGTCCTCCTTCTCGTACCGGTTGCGTTTGCCTGTTGGTTCACATTAACTTCACTTGGTTGTACACCATCACCACAGGATCTCAACACACTGACAACTTTATTGAACAACACATTCATGTGTACCGTTATCAACGTGTGAGTGTCTTTCAATTCCACCGGGGGATTAATTAAGCGTAACCGACTTCGATAGTGAGACAGTCGCGAACAAAGTTGACTGAGACCGTTTATGTCTCTTGTATTGACGGCTGTTTCGGTGAGCAAGTGAAATTGTTCAACTTGCTCTTGACAAACTTCAATATTAGCTTGAGCACTCATCACATGCTCAGAGCTAGTTGGCATGTTGTCTCTCGAGGACTCTTCTTGCAAGAGTGCCTTGAGGCGAAGCACCTTGCCTCGGTGCGTAGTGGGTCCCAAGTTGACAACATGACGTAGAGCCAACTCGTAATCTATTTCCTCATTACTCAAATGCGTATAATCCATCTCGAAATCTAGTGCGATAAGGCTAAAAACAAATAATCCTATCAAGGATACTCAAGCACAAACCAAAAACTCAATACACAAACCAAAAACTTCCGCTTACGGTAATTTAAATGTGGATTTTCAGTTGGGCGCCAGTGTTACAAGTTCCCCGGTAGCGGTAGAGCAGAACTACCGTAGGGCCAACAAAACACAAACACTAATCGGCATTTGCTCCAACCAAAGCAAAAGAGTGTCGAATAACAGTTTAACATTTATTCATTCGCACCCATTCTCCCACATTCCTACTCCTGATTCCTACTTCCTCTTCTTCCTCTCTCTATCTGTTACCGCGAGGCAATTAATTTCAAACCAAAACCATAAGATACTCACAGTTGCATCCCGTTTGCATAGCCCTAGCTGACGTTGATACCAAGGCCAAGAATATGAAATGAAAAGTAGGGCAAAAGGAGCGAGAGCTCGTTTTACATAATCTAACTGCAGTATTTACTTAGGAACGTTTCTGCGTTCAAGTAGGA